CTCGGCGGCGGATTCACGACCTCAAACTCCATCGGGAGCTTACAGGGACAGCCCCGTTGGCGGCGGCGAAGGCCGCGACGGGGCCTCCTCCTCCTCCCTCCGCCACCTCCTCCTCCTCCTCCTCACCACGGAGGCGGACCTGGAGGGATCCTGACCTAGCTCTCGCGAGAAGATAATGCCCACATCACGCGAGATTATACAAGCCCGGGAGTTGGGGAAGTGGAAGGGAACTGTTGTAGTTCTCACCACCTAAACTGCGCATGAGCTTCCCTTTTGCGGCGAAGTCTATCCCTATCACGTGACCAGGGAATGCTGAAGCACTGTGGGAGGTGCCTGAAACTGACTAGGCAAGCCTAAAGGATTGATGGGAAATTCCCTGCACATTCATCTATTTGCATTTTGAGCCAGCTTCCTGGACACCAACTCTAACCAATGTATGACTCCCATCGTGAAAAGCATGATAATCACTGAGAATCACATTCTACTTAACTCTTCTTTATTGACATGCTGACTAGATTCTTCAATCTCTCCATATAGGTGCCAAGTAAAAAAGAAAGCATTTATTTGGCAGGCACGTCCACATACCTCTATATTAAAGAGAAAACTCTTAACTTTTGAGTAAAAGGCAAAGATAAAAATGTAAGCACAATTTTGTCATCATAACTCAAATATTTGTAGAAAGATTTTTCACAGCAAATGGTAAGGTAGAAATTATTGTTTTAATAGATGAAGAAACATACAATAAATAGGGATAGGGAAAATTAACATTTATGAAAGTCTGTGCTGGGTCCTGTGTTATTTGATAGTTAATATTTTAGGCTTGGCGCCCATAGCTCAGTGGTTAGGGCGCTACCCACATACACAGGGGCTGGCAGGTTCGAACCCACCCCAGGGACTGCTAAACAACAGTGACAACTAGGAAAAAAAAATAGCTGGGTGTTGTGGCGGACGCCTGTAGTCCCAGCTACTTGGGAGGCTCAAGCAAGAGAATCGCTTAAGCCCAAGAGTTCGAGGTTGCTGTGAGCTGTGACAGTACAGCACCCTACCAAGGGCAACATTGTGAGACTCTCAAAAAATAGATATATTTAATTTTAGTGTTATTTATATTTCATTTACTTATTAATAAAACCCTAAAAGTCAGATGCTATGTAGTCTTTGTTACTAATGAGAAACTGAACACAGGTTAAGAAAATGATCATGGGGCAGCGCCTGTGGCTCAGTGAGTAGGGCGCCAGCCCGAGGGTAGTGGGATTGAACCCGGCCCTGGCCAAACTGCAACAAAAAATACCTGGGCATTGTGGCCGGTGCCTGTAGTTCCAGCTACTGGGGAGGCTGAGGCCAGAGAATGGTCTAAGTCCATGAGTTGGAGGTTGCTGTGAGCTGTGACACCACAGCACTCTACTGAGGGGGACAAAGTTTAAGACTCTGTTTCTAAAAATAAATAAATACATAAATACAAATAAAAAAGAAAATGATCATGATTTATAAACTCCTGGTGCTTTCCAATGTGAAATCATACACACAACAAAAACATCTATGTACCAGTAAGTAAACCCACCATGGATATAGAAAAAATGTGGAAAAATTGCTTATAAACTATAAAAAGCCTACAAAAAATATGGTTTTCACTGCCTGGATGACAGAAAACAACAGTGTTTTGGGGGAAAGTTTCATTGACAGTGTTTTGGGGGAAAGGTTCATTGCTGTGTAAAAGAATTTTTTTTTTAATTTTTAGTCAGGGTCTCTGTCATTCAGACTGGAATGCAGTGGTGCCATCATAACTCACTGCAGCATTGAACTGGGCTCCAGTGATCCTCTCACCTCAATTTCCCAAAAGGCTCACCACATCCAGCATTTCTTACGTACATTTTTTCATTTTGTTCTCTTTATGAAATATATGCTAATCCAAGAGAAAGGTTCTCAACAATCAATGGTTCGTGTAATTTCAACTGGACAGTGATGGGTTTTTATGTATATTGACATTTGTTTTCCTTCCTACTGCATGTATTGTTTCTATTCTAGTGGATATATATGATCTTCTATTTTATTAGACAGTGATATATATGATAATCCGATTCACTTCTCAAAAGTGGCCTGATCACCATATTTAAAATTACAATCCCACCCCTTTCTCTGGCACTCCTTATTCCTACTTTATTTTTCTCCCAATCCATTTTAAAAATCTGACATACAGCTCGGCGCCTGTGGCTCAGGTGGCTAAGGCGCCAGCCACATACACCTAAGGTGGCGGGTTGGAATCCAGCTGGGGCCCGCCAAACAATGATGGCTGCAACCAAAAAATAGCCGGGCATTGTGGTGGGCGCCTGTGGTCCCAGCTACTTGGGAGGCAGAGGCAGAGCCCAGGAGTTGGAGGTTGCTGTGAGGTGTGATGTGTGCTGTGGCACTCTACCCAGGGGGACAGCTTGAGGCTCCACCTCAAAAAAAAAAAAAAATCTGACATACATTGATTTTACTTATTTGTTTACTGTTTGTCCCCCTTCACTAGAATATAAGTTCAAGACGAGGAATTTTTGTCTATATATCTAAATTCTAGTATAACTTTGTATGGAAGGGACTTAGGAAATATTTGTTGAGCTAATGATTAAATGACTAGTCAGGAGCAACTGTATCCTTTAAAATTCATACATGTAGGCAACACACAAAGCTCTCCATTCCCACCTCCAGTTTATTTTTCTTATGTAAACATATAAGACAGTTACATCCCACAAAGAAGGCAAGAATTTTCTCTTACAACAAAGTAACAACTACATTTTCAAGATCTTTTATACATAAATGCAGTAAGAGACTGAACTACTGGGTTTTTCTGTCCTAGCAGAAACACAAACAACTAAAAGTGAGTATTTTAAATGAATAAATTCTATGTTTTGTCATAACTGCACTTTTATTAAAAAGATTCCAGTTTCTTGAAGTTTTATAGACACATCATGCAAACAGATACTTTCCTAGGAATGTTTTGAGATCATTCTGTGCTATTGAACAGGAATAAATAATATAAATTATAGCCATCACTGTCACAACACCCCTACCCCCAGCAAAAATCTCAAAGTGCTCACAAAAAAAAAAAAAGTACAACAATCTTACAAGGCACACATAAAATTTCAACATGGTTTCAACCATGTTTTTTCAAACATCCAAGACAGAAGATACCAAATCCTAAAAAGATCAGTTCATTACTATTTTTTGTAACCTCTCCTATGCACATTCCCCCTCCCCATTTCATCCTAGGAAGCAAAAATAAGAAAAAGACTTCAATCACAAGTAGACTATTTCTGAAAAGAAAATATTTTCTCGCCATATTCTCCAGTGGGAACAAACCCACTATTTACTTTTTAAAAATTGTCTCCCGTGGAGTACCCAAATAACAAAGTTTGTGAAGACAAGAAACTCTTCTCTCTTGCTTTCCCCACTTCTCTGTTCTTAGGAAGGATTACATATAAAATTAGAATCTTAGACCTGGCAATGATCTTACAAATGACCAAGATGAAAGTTATTTTACATATAATTTTTTTAAAAGTTTGAAGAGAAAACTGCCCTATGTCACTAGTGACTGTGGTTATAGTTTTCTCATCAAATATGATACCTAGATTATACAGTCTTCACCAGAGTTAAAATTCTATGAAGAATGTTACCCACAAAAGTATCACAAAAAGGATATTTAACATTTATAACAATGAACATGAGATTCTTCACAATATTGTTATAAATGGTAAAACTATATTACATTTTAAACTATAGAAGGGTTTCAATAGAAATTAAGTATAGTAGAAATTCTACATAAAACTAAGATAAGTACAGGAGGAACAGAACAACTTCAAAGTAGAATGCATTCAGTTAGGCTTCTTTCCTAAAAGCAGTTCCTGTGTTTTAGATAATATGACTTGCCCTGCAGTTTTTATTCTTAATTTTAAAAAGCTTTGTATTATATGTAGGCAGGGATATGAGAGAACAATGGCAATCCAAAATATTACTCACTGAAATAATCCTACAATTATGGCTTTGCTTTTGGCACTTTTCTGGAAATACAGAATAAAAATTTATGGATGATTAAGACCTCTGTCAATACAAAGTGAATGAAAATTACCTTAATAAAAATGGAAAAAATATAATCAATAATACTAATAGCTATCTATTAGTATGTTTGAACTACCTATGTTTGAATTGTCTTTCTCATGGTAGCTACAGCTAATATGTATTACCAATTTAAAATTAAAAAGGGATACACAAAACATGGATGAACCTCAAAGGCATTTTGCTGGGTGAAAAAAAAAAGGGCAACATACTGTACAATTCCATTTATATGGCATTAAAGAAAGGACAAAATTATACCAATGGAGAACTGTTAACAGGGATTAGAGCTAGGACAGGATGACTACAAAGGGGCAAAATGAAGGAGTCATGGGAGTGTGAAACTGTTCTGTACCCTGATTGCAGTGGTGGTACACAAATCTATGCATGTATTCAGATTTATAGAACCAGACACCAAAAAGCAATTTCAATTCTACTACATGTTAACTAAAAAATATAGTGAAATTTTCATAAGGAAATAGAACAAATATCTTTGGTAAAGTTAGAATTTCTAAGAAAACTAATTTTTCACAGCCTCATCTCAATGGTATAATTTTATTGACCACAAAATGATTAATTTCAATTAAGTATAATTAAAAAATTTGGGCCCAATTATTTCTAAAATATGTATACTAACAAATCATGGAATAAAGTATTTTAAGGAATACTAACCCATTATAAGGAAATTCTGCTACTCTCAAGTGAATCTGAATTGTGTACTTTTGCAGTTTTAAAACAAAAGGTATCCGAGGCAGGTAGACTGCAGGTTTGAAACCAGCCTGAGCAAGTGGGAGATCCCATCTCTAAAAAATACCCAGGCATTGTGGTGGGTGCCTATAGTCCCAGCTACTCGGGAGGCTGAGATGAGAATCGCTTGAGCCCGAGTTCAAGGTTGCTGTGAGTTATGATGCAATGGCCCTCTACCGAGGGCAACAAAATGAAACCGACCCCCCCCAAATTAGACAAAAGGTACCTTGGTGTTTAGTTTAGAATCTAAGAGCGGTTGGTTGAAAGTTAAAAAAAAAAAAGTTTGTTTTCTTCGTTCTTAAAGTGACTAATAACAGGTAATAATGTTTTTACATTTATTTTCTCTTCCTATTACCTTAATCCATTGTTGTTACATGCTTGGATTTTACATTTAAATCAATTATCTAGAGACTCCAAATCAGAATCTGCAAATCCTGCTGGATACTCTGTGACTAGAATCTAGAATGTGTAAAAGAATGGACACTTTTTCTCTAGGTATACCACTGGGACTTACATGTAACATAACAGATGAGACAAAATCCCATCATCTTTTTATCATGCCTTTCACAACTTTGGAACTGTTACTTTTCTTCAAGAAGAATATATGTAGGCAAGAACAAACATAAAGATGAAAAGGAACCCAGTATTACAAATGCTAATTTCTATGAAAGACTTGCCTAACAGAGTGATATAAGGTTTATTTACTAAGTATGTGATTCTAATTATAGTGTATTTTGACTTTTGAGATCAGGTCTAGATAGTTTTTCACCACTGCTTCTGCCATGGACAGAAGTTAAGTGCTTTTTGAGAGCAGACTTGTGCTTGAAATCCATATCACAACAATGGCATTTATATGGTCGATCCCCACTATGTATGTTTAAGTGGTCCTGAAGAGTGCTTTTAGCAGTAAATGTTTTTAAGCACACAGTACACTGAAAGGGCCTTATGCCCATGTGTCCTCGAATATGTCGGTTGAGATTTTTCTTCTGTGTAAATGTTTTCCCACATTGTAAGCACAAGAATAGTTTATGCATCTTAAGGTGGCGTAGATAGTTTTCAACATGAAGGAAGCCTCGAGGACACCTGGGGCACTGATGCCTCAGTGAATAACTTTCCTCCAGATTCTGAATCTCATTAACTGTACCATAACTTCCTTCAATATTTTCATAAAATATGGCCTGACCTTGATTCCCAGGAACTTCCATCACTCTGCTCTCAACTGTAGAATTAATCAATGAATGCTGTGTTTCAGAAAAATACATGCTTGCTTTTGAAGAAGTACAAGGCTGTGAAAATTGCCCATTTTCTACACCACCTGTACTGATGGATTCTACATGGAGGATACAAATTTCATTGTCTTTAAAACCTATATCTACTGTAGACAGATCTGGCGACTTCATTTCCTTTCTCTCTGATGTCAAGCTCTCTACTGTAGACTGTAAGGCATTGCTTTCCTCTTCTTTAACATCGAAATCTATATTTACAGGACTATCTTCCAAAATTTCAATTATCTCACAGTCTTTATCAGAATTTTCTTCTTCATTCTTAACACCTGGATCAGAGGATTGACACAGGTCAGTGTGTTGGTTGTTGTTTTTCATAGAAGGATCTATTTCCAGATATTTTGACAAAGCTTCTGTGCATTTTTCCACAATGTGAACCATCTGAAGATAACTGGCAGCAGTCAAATATTTCAAAAGCTCTTTCCTTTTAACTTCAAGTGCTCCAGTATAGCAAGAGAGTAACAACTTCCTGCCAACTTCTGCACTCTGCAAGATGGTGATTCTGACATGTTTTGACTGTGTGAGTAAAAACTGATCTCGCATAAAAGTGGAGCAAGCAGCCAAAATCACCTTGTGCCCCTGGAACTCGGTGTCATTAATATAAATTGATACATCACAAAATAAATTCTGCTGCCTCAAGAGATTCATTTTCTGCAAGACCACATCTCCTTGCTGTTCAAACTGGAAGTGCAGAACATCAGATTCAGCAGCCATGGTCATGATCTACGCAAAATATAACACAAACGTTAATGTAAGGTTAGGGAATGTTTTCCCATGTCATGAAAACAAACAAATGAATTAACAAAAGAAAAAAAAAAA